ATGCATAAATTCTAAAGAATTAGCTCCTGAAACTAAAATAAAATAAATTCTGGAAAACATATTGCACAAAATTTTTCATGTCATTTTACAAGCCCAAGCATAACGAAAAGTGCAGTCTATAAAGTATCATTTAAGAGTCCATAATCGGGAGATTGTATTAAATGAAATTATTTTGAGAATAAGGGTTCAATATTTTGTTTTGTGGCCTTCACGTAAAACACTATTCAATTCTAATTTATTTTACATTCATACAGCAGCTCATGTAAACAAATCCACTTAGCAATCTGAAAACTAATTCCTCTAAAATTCATTCTAATATTATCTTCATCTCTGTCTGCTATCGGGGATTACAGCGAAAAAGCGACGTTCACTTCATACGTCTGTAAATGTTACATGTTACAAACATGTAACACAGGACCTCTTCAATGAATTTTTTGCTGTTTCATCCCCCGTAGGCGCTACTGTCCTCAGCATCCTCCTTTCTCCTAATCACACCCCCATAACTACGTGCCGATCTAGTATTTAGTTAGGCCCTCTGGAAACAAAGTTAACAAATCATGATAAGGCTGATGGACTTGAAACCGAAACATTTTACTTCATTTTTCCTTGTCTTACCCTGCGGCCCTGAAGAAGATGGCATATTACTCCGAAACGTCAGTAAATTACCATCAGAAAACACGGTGTCACACTGCGGAACAAAGCACCCTTCACAGTCACCTCCGTGAACACCTAAACTTTCTCCTTATTAATACTTCATATATTTGTAAGATTTCTGAAGCTCAGCATATGCAAAACAAGGGCTCCTAATTTTTACAGTTCTTTTGTGCAGCTGTACAATGTCATTATAAGTGTCTGAAAACAAAGTACTCATTAAAGTACTTGAAATCAGAAAAGGCAGATGGAATCGATTAGAAATGCATATAAAATTTTAGTCGGCGAATCTGATGGAATAAGATATAGGCGTAGATGGGAGTTAGGTAAAAAAGTTAAAAGTTATCCCTGTAACAGATCGTGAAGGCCTATAGGGTTGTGAGACGTCGAGGTTCCCACATTTTCTCTAGACAATCGGCAGTAAGATTGTCAGCTGCCCTTTACACCTCAGGAAGATTCCTGGTACACATTTCTGCTAGAGGCTGAATCGACATCTGGTCCATAGTGCGGCCCCAAGGATTAGGTAAATTGAAAAAAAAAAAATCCACCTCATCGAGATCCGAACCCGCGACCTTCCGGATTCTATGACAGTGCCTCACTCATCTATGCTACCGGGTGTCACTTGGCATAGATAGGAGGACAATTTTAAAATGAATACTTTCTGACACAGAATGTGTAGGACATGGGATCAACGCATCTTCTTCAGGGCAAAGACCATTGGCGGGCTTTTGTGAACACTTTAATGAAAGATGTGAATTTCCTGACTGGGCGACTAGCCGCTCCCTGAGGCGGAAGTATGTGAACAATTTAGCACTAACACGACTCCACATTGGGTAATTTATAAGAGATCATCTAGTGCTGTTACGGTAGTGAAATCAAGGACACAGTGGGTTGCTTGTAGGAATAGAATGGGACTAGGTAAAAGGTAAGATAAAGTTGCTCCTTGTGCTTAATTAATTAAGCACTACGCCTTGAAGACGCATTTGGGAGTGGATGTATAGATCCATATCTTCTTGACCTCGATACTGGTAGGAGGTGAATGGTCAGTTTCACGCCCCGGCCGCTTTACCCCCAGGAAAATAGCCCTCGGTACCCATTGGATAGGAGCCTGGGTGGACCCCAAAGCTGGTCTGGACGACGTGGCTAAGAAGAAATTCTTGACAATACCGGGACTCGAACTCAGACACTTCGGCAGTCCAGCCCGTAGCCAATCGTTATATGGGCTATCCCAGCTCCCTGTGGGACTAAGAAGAAACCTCTTCAAAAGCCGTCGCTTAGAGCAATGATTCTCCAACCGCTGGTATGTATACCCTTAAAAGGAACGCGAGAGTACGTAAACACGTGACGTCCGAATTCCTGCTTTCCTTCCCGCACAACCATGAGTAGGATGGGAAGTTTATTGCGTATAGGTACTTTCTTGCAACACCAATTGCAAGTAAATTGTTTTAACAAATACGTTATGGTACAAAGAACTGTGTGTTAGGAACTTGGGGTATTTCAAAAATATATCTTTAAAAAGGAGTAATGTAAAAATGGTTGAGAAATAATCCTTTTCTCTCATTTTAAAGCAGCCAAATCTTAACAGCTCGAGAACAGATAGAAGATAGACCTTGAGGGTGATTTGTGAGGTTGGGATGTGGATGGAATTGGCTCATAACTGGATCAAATGCCTAGCTTTCATAGCTGAACCTCCAAGTTCTGACATCCGATCATTCGACTCTTCGACCCTGAAGAAGAAGGCAGAAAGTTCCTCCGAAACATTGGCGTCTATCTTCAAAATTACAAGTACCACTTTCCATAAGATAGTAATCATTGTTAATTTGTTCGTTTCTTTTATACCTTCTTAGTAACTCCGTCTTCACGCATGGTATGTAATTTTCTGTGCTCTTCTAACTCCATCTGTGTGATGTCTAAATATCCTACTGAAGAGTCAAGTTAAAACACGGTCATTACTTTTGTGCTGAACTACGTGAATTGTCATGAGTGTGTGTTTGTGCCTGCGCGTGACTAAGTGAAACTGAATGCTACAGTTGCATTCCGACAGAGAACACCAGGCTGTAGCGTGATGCCCCGGGGCGACAGGCCTGCCTGTATTGTTCACTTAACAAAATATAAAACCTTTATGAGTTAATCTATACAATTAGAATCAACAACACGGAGGAGTGTTGACAGAAAAAATAAAAGCTGTAAAGAGAAATGAATTAAGGGTATAATGTGGCTTTTCAACTAAATAAAGATGTAGACCTAGTCTGCAGGGAAACAGTAATTTCAGGACCTACTCCGGACGTGAAATAACATGTAACAGTGGTATTCAAGGTAAAGTTGTTCCTGTGCTCAACTAATTAAGCACTACACCATGAAGGCGTATGGGGAGTGGATGTATAGATCCATATTTTCTTGAGTAATCAGCTTCACGCCCGGGCCGCTTTATTCCCAGGGAAAGAGCCCGCGGTACCCATTGGATAGGAGGCTGGGTGGGCCCCAGAGCCAGTCTGGACGACATGGAGAAGAGAAAATTCTTGAACTTACCGGAATTCGAACTCCGACCCCTTGGTCATCCATCCCGTAGCCAGTCGCTATACCGACTACGCTATCCCGTCTTCAGTATACATATTTTTTTTTTTTCAGATTAGAGTTATAGATGATTAACTACGGTATGTAAAACTTAAGGCTATCCCCGCAACGGGCCATCAAGGCCCATAAGTGTCTTCCAGACAGTCGGCTCACAAATGGTGATGAGGTTGTTAGCCTTAGGCCGCGCCATAGCTCAAGCTGTTAGTCGCTGTCTTCCCACCGCGGCGGCCCGAGTTCGTGGCTGGGTCTAGTCAAGTGGAATTTGTGGTGGACAGAGTGGCGCTGGAGCAGGTTTACTCCGAGTACTTCGGTTTCCCCTGTCAATCGTCATTCCACCAAATTCTTCGTCATCATAATCACCCAGGGCAGGTACAATAGGCCAATCAGTGGCCGACGTGCGAGTTGACCCAACTGGTCTCCAACCCCCACTATGCGAATTAGGTCTTTCACTTTCTACACTTAGTGGTTCACACTTTACTGATTCTTGGGTCGTCGTGTTGGTAATACTGATGATAGAGTTAAAAATTACCAAAAGAACGAGCATGACATGGTTACTCCAGTAATTACTGTTATACACTTATAAGCCTTTTTTTTTTTCCTTGGCACTACAGCCCCAGTGGGCCTAGGCCTACCTCCATGAACTCCGTTAACTTCGGTTTTTTCTAGATCTTACACCTACGGTAGGACTCCTTGGGCAAGTGATCAGCTCGTCGCAAGGCCTCTACCTGTAGACAAGCACAGAAAAACGCACACAAACATCCATGCCCTGAGTGGGATTCGAACCCACGAACCCGGCTTCCGAGCCAGCGAAGACAGTACATGCCTTAGACCGCTCAGCTACCGTGACCGGCTTGCTCTGTGTATAGAGGTCTAATATTGATTCCAAAAGAATGACAAACGTTGGTGAGAACTGACTTGAAGCCAGTAGTAATAGTATCAGAGTTCTAAGCATGCGGCGAAACAAAAGTAAGCTCTTCGTATTGAAAGGGTTCCGTTATTAGGGAGGGTTACTTATACTTACATATTTGCACCAAATTAATCGGTCCCTTGCCATCCCATGGTTAGTAGAAAGCGTGCAACTTTACTATAGGGAGAGCGATATTGAGTGGTCCGATACAAACACATATTTGGCTCGACGGTGTTAAAATGGTTAGGATAAGATACGATTGTTACACACACAACCAAACACACACACAGCCATAGAAACCAGCTCCATTACATGAGAGGTTAGTAATAAATGCAAAAATCTGGGACACACGTGGTTGGAGTATACAGGTATGTGGCTCAGGACCGAGTCAGTGCTATTCCCAAGCGATATTTACATAGAAATAGAGACAACCACCCGAAAAATCGGTCCTTTTTACATGAGAGATTAGTAAGGAATGACTAGTACTTACTTTATAACAGCCAACAGATGCAACCCAATATTGGTTCGCTGTTATCCAGACGGGTTAAGGCTCAAGCGATGGTCAGACAAACATACAGAGGTTAGCAACATATGTTGATAACTTACTTTACGATAGCGCTAAGACAGCACCCACCAATCGGCTTGTTATCCACACAGTTAAGGCACAAGCGACGGTAAGACAGACTTATATAATACTCAGAGATTAGTAGTAATGCTAACAACTTACTTCATAACAGCCAGCGGTTAAATGCGGCCGAAAATTGAGTCATTGTTACCCAAATAGTTAAGCTACAAGATACGGTTAGATCACTTTACAGATATTTAACTCTGCGATGATCAGAGATAGTAGCAAACGCTGGGAACTTACTTGCAACTCCGGAAGCATTGGGGTCCTTATGTGTGTGTTTCATGTGTTCCATGAGGGCCTCACCGCCGAGGAACAACTTGTGGCAGATCGGGCAGGACGTGGCGTTGGGACCGCCAATCAGGGCAGCGTGTTGCTGCAACACAGGGACACGGAGCTGTAGCTCCTGTGAGAGAACACACGAAGATGGCCGAACTCTTTTGGGTCGACTCGACACATAGAAACACAACATCAAACACATGGCGGTGTGTGGGTGAAATATGAAAGATGAGGCACGGAACACAAACATTAATCTTAAAGCGGATACACTTCATTATGATTCTGTATACACTGACTTGGACCGGTTGCATAAACAGGTAAACTCGTGAAGTTCCTTCAACATAAAGCTCTGTATTTATATTTAGTCAGGAGTCGAATAGATCCATTTGGAAGCGATTGCGTGCCAGGAACCTCGCAAGAGAATTCTGTACTTCATAAATTATTCTTAAATACAGTACGTTCAGTTAAGGAGGAAACTTCGCAACACCGCTGACCCAGCTCAACATTCCACACAGACTGCTGCTGTACCTGCTGATAGCAGAATGAGTCATTAGCGCCGATAAACGCGCGCCGTTACAGTTACAGCAGCAATCTGTCAGGAATATTGGGCCGGGTCAATGGTGTTGCGAAGTTTCCTCCTTGATTGAACGCCCTGTAGCTATTAATTATTTATGTATAAAAACGATATTATTAGCAATTAATCCTGATACTTTATCCTACATTCTGAGTTGTGACTGTAGGGTTTTAGGGCACGCATGGTGAGTCCCACTCGACAATCTCAAAGCCAGTTCCAAAAATTTGTGTACTAATGGAAGTAACATACTCGTATATATATATATGGTCCCAAAAACCTTTGCTTCCGTCAAAATATAAATTTCTATTTATTTCTTCTTTTTTCTTATTATAATATTTCACCTATACCTTTTATGAGAAGTAAATAATTTACAAGGTACCGAATCAGTATGTACCTATGAACACCGCTACAGCCTTGACTGAGTTTTGCGAGCTTTGTCATGTTCACCCTTGCTGTACATTCTACTGTGGTCTCTCGAACAGGAATTACCAAAGCCCGTCCGATTTTAACCTATTTAATTTGTTTGATAAGCTCGTCGTATTTCATTCTGTCTGCATGTCGATTTGTCTTCTGAACCCGTTAGAATGTCACACCTGGAGTAGGAACATTTTATAGATTTTAAATTGACCATCTATCATCGTTAATATCAACATGACCATAAGAACTTGTGACGAAAGCCCAAAAAGAATGCTGTTAATCGAAAGGTCCTGAAAGTCTCTTCGCTAACTTTTCTGCAACTTGAAGGAAGAAGGTAATATAGCCCTTTCAATCACAACAGAAATCACGTTTTCGGTACACACTATGGTCTTTTGGTCTGTGACACCATGTAGTCTGACGGGTAGGTACTGAGGTTTCGAAGGAACATTTTTTTTTTCTGTGGCGCTACAGCCCCAATTTGGGCCTAGGCCTACCTCCATGAAACTCTCCGTTTCATTTCGGTTTACTGGATCTTACACTTGCGGTAGAACTCCTTGGGCGAGTGATCAGCTCGTCGCAAGGCCTCTACCTGTAGACAAACACGGAAAAACGCACAGAAACATCCATACCCTAAGTGGGATTCGAACCCACGATCTCGGCTTCCGAGCGAGCGAAGACAGTGCATGCCTTAGACCGCTCGGCTACCGTGACCGGCTTCGAAGGAACATACACTTCCCTATTTAAGACATTCAGAATTTTCTTTAAGTCCTTTTCCATTCCTTAGGTCGAAATGTTATGGCCACATATTTTTTTCTTATTATTAATTTAAAATCTTCCTTCAGCGCGTATCTCTAGGTATTCTATCCTGTAAGTGAAGGACAGTTTTCCTCTGACATACTGATACACACCTGCAGCATACAGATGCTACAACCCAGAATGAATTTTCACTGATACGAAAAAAACTTTTTGTGTATGTATTTGTTATTCGGCCGCTACATAAAAGCCCGGCATTGGATCCTATTAGGAGCTAGCCTACATACTGAGATTCACTTTAATTATTGTCTACCATTTACGCTTAAATCTCCGAAATCAGGCCTTTCTTTCAGGTCTCCAAATAAATTTAATATACATTTCTCATTTCACTTTTCTATACTACAAACTTTCTGAGTGACCCTAATTGTACTATTATGTGAGGGGTACAAATTACGAAATATATTATTATGTAATTAATATATTCTTCGGTTCTTTGTTATTAAGTACTGTCAACCTACGTCGTACCCTCATATAAATATTCGCAAATTTTATATAAATCCATCAAACAGTTTAATAAATGATGTTTATGGAAGGGAAAACGAACATTTCTTCCAGCAAAATGTTTCCGTCGGTCCAAGTCTGGATACAGAAACAGCACTCGCAACATCATATACACTGGAACAGTACTGAATATTGAACACTTTACACAACACTAACAACAGTACATAACACTGACACATAAACAGCGCCGCAGCAATCACACTCCGCAATGTGTAACATGGATTTGGCGACCTAATACTCATACTACTTGAATTCAATGAAAAATTTAAACAATATCAAATACAGCAAAAGTATTCCTCTTCTTTCTCTTTTCCTTTCTCTTCCTCTGTTTCTTCCTTTTGTTCTGATGGATTTGTCTACGTCGATGTGACAACGGAACAAAAATAATGGCGGCCATTAGAACGGACTGTGTTCATTTGTGTCGTAACCAGCACAGCAGAGTCCCGATTATCCAACAATAATTTTGTTTTAACAATTTCGCTACAGAGTTTAAATCTGAAAAAAACAACTTTCTTCGCCTTCCTGTAGTTCCAAGGTAAACTGTAATTTACGTTGATAGAAGATCGTAAATTTTTGGCTTCAATTGCCATGAGATAACAATGGAAGTCAGTTCAATTTTTCTTGTATTATTAAATATGTAAACTATGCAAAGGAGCAAGGCCTATCTTTCTTAGCTAGGTACCTTGTTCGTGACTTGGAAGGGGTTAAATAAGGGAATTTGTTCCTAAATAGAATGTTAAAAACATATTACGAATCATGTATTGAAACAAAATGCACGTTTGTAACGTGGTTTCCATGCCTCAGTAAGGCAAGATTTTTTGGCCGCGCCATAGCTCAAGCGGTTAGTCGCTGGCTTCCCACCGCGGCGGCCCGGGTTCGATCCCAGGTCTGGTCAAGTGAGATTTGTGGTGGACAAAGTGGCGCTGGGGTATGTTTTCTCCGAGTACTTCGGTTTCCCCTGCCAATCTTCATTCCACCAACTGCTCCACAATTGCCCTCACCTATCATCTGGGGCTGATACAGTAAGCCAGAAGTGGCCGCAGTATAAGGGACTTAGTCCCACCCCACTAGCAATAAATAAAAGATTTTAGCCTGTAGAGAGAGTAGATGTATGACTCCATGTATTCTTAATCTTGATATTAGACTGAGGTGTGTCGACGAGTTCACGCTCCGGGTATACCCCTGAGGGAAAAATGTCCGGAGTTTTTATAATTAGAGGACTGCTTGAGCCACAGGGGCAATCTGGACAGGATTCTGTATGTAACGAAACAGCGGCCATCTTGCCCTTAGCAAATCACTTTACAAAGTGAGGAATATTGCCAAAACGATTGTGTCTTTTAAGACACAAAAAAGGACGTAGAAAATGGAGAAAACGTAGAAGTAGACAGGGTGATATTTGAGGGTCTCACGGTGGTGAGAATTAAAGAGGTTTCTGGGATATGATGCCATGTAAATTAGTAGGTAGGTTCCAACGTTTCGGAGGAAATTTCAACCTCCATCTTCAGGGTAAATGAAGTAGCAGATTCCTCAGAAACATTAATAACCATCTAACACACTACATGGCGTCTGTCCCATCAGATCTAAATACATGCGAGCATACGAATGTGCATTGGTTAGCAACAGTGATGTGTACATAGCAACGTGGATGTAGGTAAATATAAGCATGGGATGTGCATGTGGGAGCCGAGATAGCTCAGTCAGTATTGTGATTGGCTACGGACTGAACGGCCGGGGTTCGATTTGTGGGAAGGCAAAAATATTCTTCTCTAGCCCACAGCGTCGAGACTGTATCTGCGGCCCATCCAGCCTCCTAACCAATAGGTGCTAGGGGCTGTTTCTCCAGGGACAAAGTGACCGGGCGTGAAGCTGACCACTCACATCCATCTAGTGCCGAGGTCAAGAATGGTGGAGCTACAGTTCCACTCCGCATACGTCCTCATGGTACATTGCTTGGTTAATTAAGCACAAGGGCGACATTACCTTTTAACATTATGGGATATGTAGGTCAACGAGCCTAGTTACTATTTTGTTTTTCTACAAGTACGAGTATATGTTTTGAACGGAAACTTGTTTGAAACGGTTATGTTTAATTTTCTTTTGGATTCATTATAGACAAGTTTTACCATGGTGCCTACTTCTTAAAACACAATAAAATAATATGACGTAGTTTCAGTCCGAACCAATGGCTAGCCAAGCAGATACATCTGCCTCACAGACTACACGAGACAACACCAAAACTACAGCAAGCATCCTGAAAATAAAACACATTGTACTGTTATTGCACATGTATAAAAACAAGTAACAAATATTGAAGCAAAATTTGCTTTCTTCTCTCCCTGCAAATCTGCGAGTGAAAACTGCAGGTAGAATTGTACCATTTGCTAGAATTTACAACTCCATAGTGTGGGGTTTTTCTTTATAACGCGATCGAAGGCGGCTGTGAAGCTGATTGCACTGATACCGCCATAACGACTGATACTTTCGAGGTCTCGTGTTATAATGATCACTCATTATAACAGTGTTGTAAATCAGAAAAGAAATGGTATATTAAAATTTATATTAAAAATTAATTTACATTTGATACAAATGACTATATCACATTATTAACGCAATGTGTGTTGTTTATTTAAAAAAAAAGTATTTTAATTTAGACCCATTTTGGCTAAACACTTTAACAGCTTCCTTACTTAATTTTACAGATTAAAAAAATCACACATTTGTTCAAATATAATTTAGATCCACATATTTTACAACAGTTGGTTGTGGATTCCTTTAGGTACTCCATCAGAATG